GATACTGCCAGTCTTGTTAGAGATGATGTTGTACAGGTGCCCCATCAGAGGTTTTTTTGCACTTTGGTCACTGTTTTATCCAGCCCAAGTTTTATTTCATATTTTAAACCCCATTTTACTTGCAGCTGTAACTCTTTCTGAGACCACAAGACTGTCCCAAGCTATTCATCCTTTTGTAGGGTTGTTGTTTTTTTCCCTCTTTTAGGATGGAACCTGTTGAGGACATGAAGCCAGGAAACCAAACCGTCACTACGCACTTCTTACTTTTGGGGTTTGCCTTCCACGGCCAGATGCAGCTCCTGTTTTTCACACTCATCTCCACCATGTTCCTGGTTGTCTTGATAGGGAACTCCCTAATTGTTGTGATCACAACCATTGACCCTGCCCTACACACGCCCATGTACTACTTCCTAAGGAATCTTGCCTTGACAGAGATCTGCTACAGCCTAAGCATTGTCCCCAAGATGCTCATGATCCTGCTGTTGGAGAGAAAAATGATCTCGTTCCTAGCTTGTGCCCTGCAGCTCAACTGCGTTCTTCTTTTTGTCACCTGCGAGTGTTTCCTCCTGGGCGCGATGGCTTTTGACCGGCAAGCGGCCATTTGCCACCCCTTGCACTATGCCACCATAATGAAGAGGGATCGCTGCTTCAGGATGGCCCTTGGGTCTTGGCTCTCTGGTGTCTCGGTGGCTCTGGGCTTCACCACATGGTTATTCACCCTGCCTTTCTGCGGGAGAAACACCATCGATCATTTCTTCTGTGACGTGTCTCCTGTGTTGAAGCTGGTGTGTGCAGACACAACTATGTTTGAACTACTGATTTTCATTGCCATTGTCATAATAGTGATGGTTCCCTTTTCTCTGATAGCCACCTCCTACCTTCTCATCATCCATGCTGTTCTTCACATACCCTCATCTGTGGGCCAGAGGCGAGCCTTTTCCACCTGTGCAGCTCACCTGGTGGTCGTAACTCTTTTCTACAGCACAACTGGCCTCATTCACCTGAGACCCAAGTCCAGCCTCTCATCCAACATCAAGAAGATGGTTTCCCTCTCTTACATCGTTGTCACACCCATGCTCAACCCCATCATCTACAGCCTGAGGAATCAGGAAGTCAAGCAAAGCCTGAGGAGATGCATTTACAAGGAACGTCAGATGGCTGCTTTTTCTTCATCCAGGTGACA